GTCTTCAGACAACACCATTGAGCCACAAGACTGAGAGTTCATATTCTAAATTTTTATTTTTGTTTTTTTAAGTATAGGCTAGACTGTTGGATTAAAACTGGAAAGACCTGGGGTCAAGTTTACCCTCATCCTTGAAAACATATTGGGTGGCTTTGGCCCAGATTCTGTGGCTGAGTTCTCACATCAGATTACTTTAACAATGAGGTTGGATATTTGGTTATTGCGTGAACCTTGCCCTCATTGTAAGTTGCTACATGCTTTATTTCAGGGAAAGTAAGCACCAGGGGTGTCTGGAAAGCATGGTCAAAAAGTCATGTCTGTGTCATCAAAGCTCTGTCGCACATAAAAAATGCATGGAATTTTGATCACACAGTCATGACTGCCATTTTGACTTTTTTGACTATATCCTGCAGAGCCCCCTGGTGAGCATGTTATGGGAACACTACTCAATTGTGCTTTGTTACAAGGTTTATATGTTGCCTGAACCTAGCAAAACTATCAACACACCCTTCCATATGGAAAAAAGGTGGAATAGAACTTGAACACATAAACAAATATAGAAAAGATCAGTGGTGAACATTTTTCCAGCAACTACCTTCAACTTTACAAAAAAAATTTAAAAATCAAGGTTATTTTGTTTTGTTTTAAAAAGTACTCCTTAAGGAGCTATGCTGACATGTAAAATAAACTGCTTTCTGGGTTCCAATGTATCTGGGACTTCTTGATTACAAGTTTGTCCTCAGAAGAAAGGAGAGCTGGAATTTGGTATATGATGTGGGCTTTCCCCAGCTTCTTTCCCAGAGCTTAACAAACAACAGCACTGTTTCAAGTGATTATAGAGGGCATGATGGCCATTCTCAGGATCCCTCTGGAGCCGAAGAGCCCTTAGATCTACCAGTCAATTGATCTGATTCAGACTGGTCTGTTTGATTTTCGATTAGGACGGGTGAACCTAGCTGTTGCAGTTGGCCAACTGTGGTTGAGTGTGTTGTGTGAATGGAAGAATTATGGTTTTATCAGTAAATCTCAGCAAAAGAAACCAGGGTGTTATGTGATGTTTGAACCTTGTCACTAAAAATGGTCTGGGGGAAAGGGGACAATAGGAAACGGTGGCAAAATAAGACAAGTTTCCAACTGGGTGACAATTGGAGGCTCCCTCCTTTCCCCCAGAAATTTCCATGAACAAAGCAGGATGGTGCCTTGATAAAAGCTTTGTTGAGATGCATTTATAATTTCTGTTTATACTCCGATCCTAGTTTATATTCAGGGCTGCATCTCCCTCCCTGAAGTGCATATTGACGGGATAAATCTGAGTTGCAGGATTTAAGAGGCTCATTTAAGTGCAATGTGTGAATTATTGCTTTGCTCTCCGACATTGCTTTACGGATGGTCGCCAGAGTACTACTTTTGGTCCTGTATTGGTCCAAGCAGTGCAGTATTCATCGGTTAGTTCTTGGGGCCAATTCACTACCAGTGACTCTCCAACCAAATCTGAGTAGAGCTGTACAAAGAGACACATAGAAGTCCTCAGCTTGTGGGAGGCCATTTTTGGGACAACCTCTGCAGTGAGCCAGAATGCTCATCTTCTGTTGCAGAATCTTGGCCCTATCATTGACCTGGCTGGCCTTTACTTTCAGCTCTCAGATTTGTTCTGCCTCTTAGTTGCATTTTGGCTCTTGACCTGTAAACTGTCTTTTGACTTGGTGACATGAGGCTACAGGCTTTGTTTTGGATCCCTCAAGCATGTCTGGCTATGCCACTAGAACAGATGGATGGGTGGCATCATGGTGATTTGTGTAGTGTACAGCTGTGTTTCTCAGCCTCAGCAACTTTAAGATGTGTGGACTTCAACTCCCAGAATTCCCCAGCCCATGCATGGGCTGGGGAATTCTGGGAGTT